TGAGCACGAAGTCACTCAAAAACTCAAAAAACTCTTAGCTTGCTTAAAAGATTTACTAAGATCCAGATCACCAAACCTTTTATAGAGTGACCTGAAACAGGAAGAAAAAAAACACCTCCTCAAATATTCTGCATAGACCTCAGTATCTGTTAGCATTCTTCTGCCCTTACATCCACTAGCAGTTACTGATACTAGTGAAGTCTTTAACAAAGTTGTCATGCCTTCACCAAGCATACTAATGTATATAGGATTAGACTCTCCACATGCTAATACCCATAGCCAGAAAATGCCACTTCTGACAATAATGCTTGAGCATCCAGCTTCATATGCATAATCCCAAGTATTTAAACAAAACAACCATTAACACTCATGATGTTAAGACATCATGTGGGACATCAGCTTCATAATATAAAACCCAATCAACCTGGTTCTTGATCATTCAAAGGACTCATTGTGCATATAAATCCTTTTAAGAAGCTCCCAATAAAATACACAGCCGGTGCAACTTACTCGGGTTTTTCCAAACACCTAAATCAATGGAGAGAAATAAACTCTCACATATTCTCTAAACCATAATGTTCAGAATGCATGATTGTATAAATTTTTAGACAAATACTTCGTCTCCTGTCAAAGTATTTATCATCAGTCTCATGCACAACCTCCTTAGAGGATAAGCAAATACTCAGGTCCCGTCAAAGTATTTATTATATGTCAGATAAGATAACTTCTCACACCAAGTACGTTATTTGGTCTGACATCCTTCTTCTGCATAATCCTGACACCAACTGATGACATTCATTCATGTCATAAAATACTCCAGATTAGGTCAGTGGCTAGACCTTAGCTCCACTTTAGACAATAACAACTTCCTTGGCTGAAGGAATCACAAACTTTGAGATGATGTTCCAACATAGGATCCGACATCAGTATTAAATACCTAGATTTCACCATTAATTGTGGTATGTAGACACCATAGTAATCCATAATTCTTGCAAGGGATACACGATGATAAACCATCAGTAGCTGATCAACCTTCCAGGAGTTTTTCATCAGATATATATGCAGTGAAATACAGACCAGAAAAACTCCTTAACCACCTTCAGGAAAAAATAATAACCTTTGCACAACACCATCCTTTAGGTGCAACAGGTTATCATGGATTTAAAAATAAATCAAACCCCAACGCAGTAGCTTGCCATCAAAGCTACACACCTGAAACTAATCACAAACGTGTCCAATATACACCCCTGTCACGAACATTCCATCATCCACTTCTAGGGACCGTTCAAACAACAATATGAACTCTCTAAGTTCATACAACTTTTCAGTAGAACCAATCTACCTTGCACATAACCATAAAGTATCCTCCTTGGATCTCATCTAGAGACATACAAAATTCATGCTTTGATACCAATTGAAATTTTAGTATGACATACTCAGATGTCCTATGACATGTTGGGATATCTGATCCAACATAAACAAACATGCAATGTATCAATAATAAACAAAAATACTAAAAAGCATAAACAACACATATAATTGTTAACCCAGTTCGGAGCAACTCTCCTACTCTGGAGGCATACCAAGTATGAGACAAATCCACTATGATAATATCAATTTGAAGCTAAACACCCATGTTTATAACTTCTCACTTAATCACCACTCTTCCTATATTTCTATCTAATACCCACCTAGATATGAGGCCCTCCTCAATCCCTATTTAATCATAGACATCGATTGGATCAACACAATTCTGAACAAATAGGAAGACACACTTCTATAACAACACTAGTTAAGACTATTGACTAAGACCACAACTTGGAGTTGCTTCAAATATTCCTCCAAGAACAATACTTGACTCATTACTTCACAGCTTCTGAGTGAGAACAATAGTGACCATCTCACAACCTGAGTGATTTCTTACACCAACTCTCCTAGAGAGCGGCAAAAAGATAAAGCCCTAGAATTCTACATCTTGAACCCGTGTCTTTCCTAGGTTACAAACACTTCTATTTATAACCTATGCCCAACTAGATTTGGGTCTTCAAAGTACAACATATTAGCTATAACAAACAATAGTAACTTCTGCTACAGGTCTTCAATCAAATCTTCCTAAATTATCTCCAAATTTAGAAACTATATATTCTTCAATATTCTGATTGATTCTTCTTGACCTTTAAACCAGAGCCCTATAATGTTGCATAATATTTCCCAAAATATTCAGAATCAGTTAAATCAAAACAGAATCTAACTGTCCACTTCAGCCTAGGCGTGATGTCATATGCTCCTTCATATGACATATTATCCGACTTGTTGTTCTAGATGTTGAAACTCTTCAACTCAAAATGTCCTAACATAAGATATGATTTCTTGCTCAACCTGTTCTTGTTAGCAAGTTAATACATCATATCTAACATATTGTTGTATTATTTCTTTTACACAAATTAATGTCTATCCTTAAAACTATAGAACTTACAAAAGTGATTTAAGATGCATCTACAAAAACTTTTGAAATTAATTTAGAGTTTTTCAGAGGTTTGAACCACCCCTAAGAGTGAGAAAAAAATTGGGAATTTCTTTTCCTACCCTTACACCTTTTTAGCCACCTTTGGAAAAATTGCGTTTTTACCCTCAGAATTCGGAGATGTAACTTCGAACGCACCATATTTTATTTTTTCTGGGTATTTTCGAAGATGTACTACCTAAACATTTTTTTTCAAAATTAGCGGTGTTTCGGAGATACATCTCTTAATTAGGGCATTACATTAACAAATATGAACAACCACCCCTTATTCTCATTTCTTCCAAAATCTAACTATCAAACACCCCAAAAACCTCCAAAATATCTACTTTCAAAACTCATTTAAGTTGGTCTACTCATTTACACTTGTTACAACTCACTCTAACTCTCAATTTTAACATATTTCAACAACTCTAAAAGCTTCAAATTTGAGTAAGTTCACCAATCCCCATTTTAATCTTTGAATTTCTATTTTAAGTTATTTAGATTATGTACAACCCGTAAAAAGCTTGTTTTTATGTGTAAAAATTGGATCTGGGTGTAAAAATGGTGCTGTTAGGTTCAAGTTTTGGTTATGGAATCACATGTTTTTTCGGAGATACATTTTTGAAAACCCCTATGAGGAGTTTCAGAGTTGCATCTCCGAAAAAATGCATGGGTTAATTTTTTTAAAAAATTTTCAAACTATGAGACTTGGCAGGCCTAGCCAAACTGCATCCGCTCGATGAGAGAGAGCTGAGAAGACTACGAGTCGTCGAGGATGCGGTCGAGTACCACAGGAGAAAGTGGAGGGAACACCGACTTCTGCTCTGAGGAGTCGACTTTCACGCGCGTCCTCGTCTAGAGATTACAAGGAGGAGGAACCCGAGCGGGTTGAGGTTTCGGAACCCGAAATGGTTGATGTTCCAGAACCCGAGGAGGAGGCTAACCCGAGTTTTGTAGGAGGGTTGTCTGACACCTCCCTCTTGATTTATTACATCGATCATGTCGCTCGATATATTTCAGAGGAACATGTATATTAATTTTTGTTGCACTTTTCATTTTAATGATTTACACACTTATATGTTAAAATTGATATTAACTATTTATCTTTACAGGAACAACGTTCATAAAATGCGTGAACCACACACAGAAGATATCTGAGATGTATTACCCTGATGTAGATTGGTTTAGAGAGGCCATTTTTCCTCTGGACTTTTCGGCCTTTGTTGTTCTGGTTACAACACGATCAACCACGACATGCAGGAGGCATTTTGGAGAGGTGGCACAAGGAGACATCATATTTCCACTTGCCTGTTGGGGAGATGATGATCAAACTTGATGACATCGCCTGTCTGCTACACTTTCTTATCAGAGGAAGGTTACTTAATCACTCTCCGATTGATCGCAGTGATGCGATTGAATGTATGACCGACTATCTGAGATCTGAACCAGAAGAGGCATTTAAGCAGTGTTCCTCCAACAATGGGGCTCATGCCAAGTTCTCATTCCGTAAGGACCTATATCACCAGCACTTATCTGCGATAGTTGATTCCGAGTCATAGAGAGACGAATTATTTGTTCTTTATCACCGTCCATGTACTCTGAGGTGTTACTTCACGTTCTTGGTTGACACGTCCATTTTTATGGAAAAAAGCGCCAACTACGTGGATGTAGCACACCTTTAGTACTTCATGGATTTGGATACAATGAGGGTGTAGAATTAGGGGGCCGACTATTTGGTATACATGTACCAAAATCTGAATGAAGTCTCTAACTAGAGAACACGACAACTGACAGGCTCTACTACATTTCTGACGGTAATTATCATTCCACCTATTAAATTTAATTTACTATTAATAATTATAATTTGTTCTTACACGAATCTTATTCGTTTTTCAGGGTTGTATCATTTCTCACTTCCACCGCATCCATGGTTCCGATTATACTGGATTATATTGAGGATATGGCGAGGGCTGCATGGTATGCCCCCCACAGAGGGAACCGGGCTGTGCTGCTGTTTCGGGTATATTTGGATATGATTGTCCATGATGACATCCTATAGACGTCGTTCGAGGATCACTGGGAGATTATCCAGTTCGACTTCATCTCATTGTACTCTGGATGGCTGGCATGTGAGACTAACACTATGGTCAGACATCTTCCGAAGCGATGCATGTGACAATTTGGCTATGTACAGACATACCCATATCTCCCTTTCAGGCTGCTCCTAACACCATTCTCCGCCGGGAGCTCGATGACATCTTCTAGGATTTGAGAGAATCATACGGTGTTAGATAAGTGTCAGATGATGCATGGAACCAGAAGTTGGCACTGTGTTGAGGGATACATGACATGTTTCTACACAATGTCACATCCTAACATGACACCTGATGCTTCTGAACGTCCACCTAGGTCAGCTCACGAGGAGATCTTAGAGAAGCAACATGTTGAGGATGACAATGCCATTGATCTCTTGCCGATATATCAACAAATACATATGATTGAGCGGAAGGTTTTAGACATATGTATCATTGACGAGGGCGGTCCCGAGGCAGATGGTTGGAGAGGCAGAGAGTACGACGGGATACAGTAGACAGATGATGGGTCAGGGAGTGAAAACCAGACATACGCAGTAGGCTATGCCTTTTTTTTATTTTAAATTTTAGAATAATTTATGAACAATAATTGTATTTTTTATTTTATTTTAAACAATTTATTGTAATATCGTTTTTCATTTGTGTTTTTATTGTATTATCGTATTATTGTATTATCGTTTTCTATGTCTTATCATTTTTCATTTGTGTTTTTATTATTGTTTCCATCTAGTTATTTATCAACACATTGATGATTTAAAAAAAAATCATTGTCTAGGATTTTGGAGATGCATCTCTGAAAAAATCAAATCAGGGTATTTCGGAGACGCATCTCCGAAAATATCATTACATGTTTAAATATAATGTCCAAGATCAAATAAATATTTTCAGAAATGCATCTCTGAAACATTTTGATTTAATGTGCGTTAAGAGATAATCTGCGAAGACAAATTTCGGATTTTCTCAAAAAAAATTCCTTGAATTTTCCAATTTTTTAATGGATCCAACCCGTTTTTGCAAATGATAGCTTGGCTCAATTTATTATATTTTCCGTAAAAAAGATATATTATTTCGTTGGTTTCTTCTCCTTCGTTTTTCTTCTATTCTATGGAATCCTCCCTCTCTTTTATTCATTTTTCACATATCCGAATTCTCTCTCTCTAACCTTCTCTCTCTCTCTCTAACCTTCTCTCTCTCTCTCTATCTCTCTTCCACCGATAACCGTTTTCCACCGATTCTTCTCCTCGACTCGCCATTCGCATTACCGATCCGCGTTCTCGATTCTGCTCCGATTCTCATCCTACGCGGTGAGTTTTGTTTTTCTTTCTCTTTCGTTTTCTCTTTCACTGTTCGGTTTCGTGAATTTCCAATTCTTCGTTTTTCTTTCTCGCCTCTAGTTCGTAGATTGTAAGCAAACTCCAATGCAGATTGAGTCATGTTATTCTTTTTCTTATTATGATCGGTTGTTTCTTTCGTTAGAGAATTAAAAATGAAAAATCAAGAAGAGTTTTTATCACTTGTTTGAGTTTGAGCAATAGTTTATTGATCTATTGCAATGAACATAATTCAATTTTGTATTTTTGAATTATTTCTGATCAGATTGTAATGAATGTGAACGTGACGTTTTGGTGACATATGATTATTGTGAAGAAACTTTTTTATATATGGATGAACTTTTTTTTTTCTGGATTGTAGATTGTGATGATAACCTTCATTTTTTCTCTTTAATTTGAGTTTTCTGTTTTTGTTTACAGTCATGGCTTGAATTAGATGATGTCGTTTCAGCTTTTTGAGAGATGTTTTGAATAAAAAGTGATTATTTATCAGCTAATCCAAACGAATTAAGTTTATAATTTTCTCTCTCTTTTAATTTCTATGTTCTTTAGATTGATTTTTGGATCTGTTGGTCAATAGATTTTAATTTTCATGGGTAGGTTAAATGGAGGAGTCTAAGTTGAATTCATGGTAAATGATGTTTTATAAGAGTAAGGGGTTTTGTCTCCAAATTTTTTATGCAACAGCTCATAGTTATATGATAATGTTCTTAGGTTCCGAGCCTTCTAAGCGTAATTTGAACAAACCACTATTTTCTGCAATCCACATTTGATAACACTGGTTAGGGTCTGTCATGAGTGAATTGAAAGGCAAACCTTCAAATTGGTTGAACGTGAAGTGATTTTTTATTGTTGAGTTGCACAATAAAATGTTTTACTATTACTGTATTTTCCGAATATTGTACTTTCCAAGTGCACTTGTTGTTGGTTTGATGTGTAAGGTGGTAATTGATTTTTAAAGGAAGTAAAATTTATATATTATTTGTTACTGCTGAGATTATTTATTGTTGAGTTTGCACAATAAAATGTTCTAGTATTACTGTAGTTTCCTAATATTGTACTTTCCAAGTGCACTTGTTGGTTTGATGTGTAAGGTGGTAATTGCTTTTTAAAGGAACTAAAATTTGTATATTATTTTTTACTGCAGCTTATTGCCTGTTTTCCAATACATCGACACAATCTGAAGTTGACAACATAATCATAATGGATCAACTTTGTAGTATACAATCAATACCACCAAGTCAACAGGATTTCTAAAGGTTGTGACACGTTGATTTACTGCTTGCTGTTCGTGGATCACTTCTACCATGAAAAGTGGGTTATTGGTGATATTAAATGCTTCATGCTACATTTCAAATCTAAATTACATTTCAAATCTAAATTACATCTTCAAACCAAGTTCCAACACAGTGTTGACAGTTAGATGTCTCTTCATGGAAACCGTTCCAGTTTCTTTGAAGTGTTATTGGCTATAGTGTTATAAATTTTAAAAATGGAAAGGTTAGTTTCTTCTCATCTATTGGTTTGTGTACAATTGTCAGGCTCTCAATAATGGCCCCAGATTAATTTATTTCATGTTTGTCTTTTTCTCTAGGTATAAAATTTTGAAAGAGCTTGGACATGGTTCTTGCGGTCATGTATATAAAGCCCGTGATATGAGAACTTTTGAGATTGTAAGCAACTTTAGCTAACTAGTAAAATTTTCAACTTACGCATATTCATGTACTTTTGTTCTTCTAGCAATCTGGTATAAGTTATCCTTCATTGTCTCATATTCATCCCAAAATAACTGTTTTTAACATCTGTATCTCTGTATCCTCAAATCTTGTATTTCAATTTTCATCTTTCTCTTACAAAACACGCTGGTCTTACTTGCTGGCCGGGCAGGCAGGCTGATAAGAGCCAAAAAAAATTGGAAAGAAATGAAAAGATGAATACTGAAATTTATGTAGATAATATTGGATTATTACAACACAGGTTTTCGAGAGCCTGTCTCTCCACAATTCAAATTCTTCCTAATTTTCTGAATGTCTTCCTAATTCTGATTTGCTTCTATTTATACTACATTTACATATGTTCCTAATTGGCACAATTAATTTGAAGGGTTATAATTGTTAGATTTTATGCTGTTTGGTTCCAAGGGTCGCATCCTTTCGGGTGGGTGTGTCTGTTCACCAAGGGTCACGCCCCCTGATTCACATCTCCTGATCCTGCACTCCTTGGGAGTCGCTGCCTGCGGGTGTAAAACTTGGTGATGGGTGGCCTAGGCTTATCAATACCCCCTCTTCTTAATTTTCTGAATGTCTTCCTAATTCTGATTTGCTTCTATTTATACTACATTTACATCTGTTCCTAATTGGCACAATTAATTTGAAGGGTTATAATTGTTAGATTTGATGCTGTTTGGTTCCAAGGGTCGCATCCTTTCGGGTGGGTGTGTCTGTTCACCAAGGGTCACGCCCCCTGATTCGCATCTCCTGATCCTGCACTCCTTGGGAGTCGCTGCCTGCGGGTGTAAAACTTGGTGATGGGTGGCCTAGGCTTATCAACACCCCCTCTTCCTAATTTTCTGAATGTCTTCCTAATTCTGATTTGCTTCTATTTATACTACATTTACATCTGTTCCTAATTGGCACAATTAATTTGAAGGGTTATAATTGTTAGATTTGATGCTGTTTGGTTCCAAGGGTCGCATCCTTTCGGGTGGGTGTGTCTGTTCACCAAGGGTCACGCCCCCTGATTCGCATCTCCTGATCCTGCACTCCTTGGGAGTCGCTGCCTGCGGGTGTAAAACTTGGTGATGGGTGGCCTAGGCTTATCAATACCCCCGCCTAAAAGATTCACCTTGTCCTCAAGGTGATAATCTGGAAAGACCTCTTGTAATTTACCCACAGATTTCCAACTATTTTCACTTGTAGGCAGATTCTGCCACTTAACTAAGACTTCCACGTTGCCAGGTTGTAATTCACGAATATCTAAAACAGAGTCCGGATAAACCTGTAATTCCTGATCCTCAGATAGCATAGGTGGTAAAGGTTGAGATTGGAAAGAATCACCAATGGCCTTCTTGAGGAGAGAGACATGAAATACTGGATGAATTTTACTATGAGATGGAAGATCCAATTTGTAAGCAACAACACCCACTTTTTTTAACACTCGGAAAGGACCATAAAATCGAGGCGAGAATTTTTCATTAATCCTTTTAGCCAAGGATTTTCTCCTGTAAGGTTGCATCTTTAAGAACACCCAATCACCGATTTCATATGCTATATTTCGGCGGCGTTTGTTCGCATTTGTGCGCATGACATCTTGGGACTTCAACAAATTCTCTCTCAGAGCCGCCAATAATTCATCTCGAGCAATTGTAAGTTTGTTGACTTCTTCAAGGCGGGAAGGAATGGTGGATCCCTTAAGAATGTGAGGTGGATCATGTCCATACAATGCTTTGAAAGGGGACATTTTGCTTGAAGCATTATAATTGGTATTAAACCAGAATTCTGCCCAGGGAAGACAAGAGACCCATTTCTTAGGCTTAGTACCTGTTAAGCATCGTAAATAAACCTCCAAGCATCGATTGACAACTTCAGTTTGTCCATCCGTTTGAGGATGGTATGCCGAACTGAATTTTAGTTGTGTACCTGCTGCTTTAAAAAGGGCTTTCCAAAAATTACTTAAAAACAAAGGATCGCGGTCTGAAACAATGGAAGACGGAAATCCATGCAATCTTACAACTTCCTGTAGAAAAACTGCAGCAACATCGATAGCGGTGTAAGGATGCCCTAATGGTATGAAGTGTGCATATTTGGTGAGCCGGTCAACCACCACCAGAATTGTATCCTTCTCCATGGATTTGGGTAGTCCTCCAATAAAATCCATCGAAATGTCTGTCCATACTTGAGTAGGAATTGGTAATGGCTGTAGTAGTCCTGCTGGTGACAAGTTGTCGCTTTTGTTTCTTTGACAGACTTCGCAAGCTGCAATGAAATTTTTGAAGTCGGTTTTCATCCCTTCCCAATAAACTAGATCTGCTATTCTTTTATAAGTCCTGGAGATTCCTGAGTGTCCTCCTACCAAAGATGAATGGAATTCTTTTAAAATGATGGGAATCCTGGAGGATGATTTTGACAACACCAATTTCTCCTTGTAAAATAGTTTCTGATCCCTTAACGTGTAGCCAGCATGAGACATGGGATTGATAATTAGGTCTTGCATGGTTTTTTGTAACTTGACATCTTGTTTGATCTCTTCAACCCATTCCTCGAAATCGTGAATTTTTAAGACTGTCATGGCACAATAAGAACTTCTCCTGGATAGGGCATTGGCGGCAGAGTTTTCCTTCCCTGGCTTGTACTGTATTTCAAAATCATATCCTGCTAATTTGGAAATCCATTTGTGTTGTTCCTCACCAATCATCCTCTGCTCTGTCAAGAATTTCAAACTTTTTTGGTCAGTTTTAATAATAAAATGGTTTCCCAACAAGTAGTGTCGCTATTTCTGGACTGCTTTTACGACTGCCATTAATTCGCGATCATACACTGATTTCCTCTGATTCCTTTCTGATAGGGTAGTGCTCTAAAAGGCCAAGGGTCTTCCTTCCTGCATTAGAACAACCCATAGTCCGGTTCCGCAAGAATCCGTTTCCACCACAAAAGGCTTTGAAAAGTTGGGTACTGCTAATGTAGGCAATTTGGTCATGGCTTGCTTTAGTTGTTCGAACGCAAGTTCTGCCTATGGACTCCATTCAAAGGCATTTTTCTTCAACAGGTTGGTCAATGGCCTTGCTATTCTTCCATAATCATGAATGAACCTCCTATAATAGCCAGTATGGCCTAAGAATCCCCTTAAGCTAGTGACATCCTTGGGTGAAGGCCATAATGTCATTGCTTCCAACTTCTTAGGATCTGCGGATACTCCTCCAGCAGAAATAATATGTCCTAGATACTCCAAGTTATCTTGGCCAAATGAGCATTTCTTGCCGTTGATCTTCAATTCATTTTGTTGGAGTAACGTTAATACATTTTGCAGATGTTGCTTGTGTTCTTCCATAGAAGGGTTGTATATTAGGATATCATCGAAGAATACCAAAACGTATTTTCGGAGTACTGGCCTTAATACTTGATTCATTAATGATTGAAAAGACGAAGGTGCGTTAGTAAGTCCAAATGGAAGTACCATAAATTCATAATGACCTTCATGTGTTCGGAAAGCAGTTTTTACAATATCCTCTTCCTTCATTCTGATTTGGTGGTATCCGGATCTTAAATCCAGTTTTGAAAAGATGTTGGCCCCTCCTATTTCGTCTAACAACTCTTCAATCACTGGGATGGGAAATTTGTCGGGAACAGTGATTTTGTTCAAGGCCCTGTAATCTACACAAAACCGCCAACTACCATCTTTCTTTTTGACTAGGATGACAGGACTAGAATAAGGACTCGTAGATGGTCGGATGATTCCTGCGTCTAACATTTCTGCAACCAATTTTTCAATTTCTGTTTTTTGATAGTGAGGATATCTGTATGGTCTGATATTCGGTATTTGGGCTCCTTCTTTGAGGTGAATGGCATGGTCTTGACGCCGATGAGGAGGAAGTCCATCTGGGGGTTCAAAGATGGTAGGGAAATCATGTAGCACATCTTTTAATTCTGACGGGATTGAATCCTTCCAATCTATCTCTGCTTGAATATGACGATAATCGATAAAGAACCCTTCTCCTTGCTGCAAAGCTTTCAACATAGAATTAAGTGAGGCGTCTTTCTTTGAAAGTTCTGGCTCTCCCTTTAAAATTACCTTTCTTCCATTGATCTTGAAGCCCAACGTCAGTTGTTCAAAGTTGACACTAATCTCTCCCAGGCTTGCTAACCATTCCATGCCTAAAACCACATCCACGCCTCCAAGGCCAAACAAGAAGAACTGTTGTTGTACTTGTACTTCTTGCACTTTCAAGGGAACCTTTCTGCATACTCTCTTACATTTGATTTTGTGACCATCTCCGACTTCTACAACGTATGATGGAGTGTCTTCCACTTCTAATTGTAATTTTTCCACCAGTTCCTTTGAAATGAAATTGTGGGTGGCACCGCAGTCTATCAATACTATGACTTTGTTATCATCAATACTTCCCCAAACCTTCAAGGATCGGCGAGAAGTAAATCCCACAATACTATTCATGGATAATTAGGGAGTTTCTCCAAATTCGGGTTCGGGCTCCTCTTCAGAGTTTTCAACATCATCTTCATCTGTTACTAACATTATCCGAAGTTGTTTATTTCTACATACATGAGAAGTGCTCCATTTTTCTTCACAACGAAAACATTCTCCTTTCTTCCTCTTCTCTTGAAGTTCTGCTTCGGTTAACCGTTGAAATCCTCTGGGTCGGTTGTTGTTCTCTGGTTTGTTCACCGATACACTTCCCGCAAAAGAATTAGAAGGGCCATTACTTTTTCCTCCACCTTTCCGACCAACACCATAAGTAATAGTCTTTGAATAGGATGGGCTTCGATACAAGTTGTTAACTTTTGAATTTGAGTTAGAAGGAGCATTCGGTCCCACCTTCCAAATTGCTATATTTTTTTGTTCGATCATTAATGCCTTCTTGACCATGTTTGAAAAAGTGGGTGGTTCGTAGAGTTTAATTTCTGCCCCAATGTCTTCCTTTAATCCGTTCGCAAAAATGTCCTTTAAATGTTCTTCATCGATAGTTTTCAGCATACCTGCAAACTTTTCGAATTGTTCAACGTACTCTTCCACCATTTCTTCTTGTTTAAGTGCAAGGAGGGAAGCAAAAGGGTTGAGAGTGACTGAAGTTTGGAACCTTTCAAGAATGGCAAGTTTGAAATCTTCCCATCCAATATCAGAATTGCAATTTTCCCACCATTGGAACCAAGATAGTGCCTTTCCCTCTAGAGCCACCATAACTGCCTGAATTTTCTCTTCTTCTAGGATGTCTCTCATTTGAAAGAAGCGTTCCAATTTATTTATCCAGCCATAAGCATCGGATTCTCCATCATATATGGGGATTGCCAATTTTCTCCATCGTTCTGTTTTTCTTTCTCCGGTGTGGCTCTTGGTTGAATGTTCTCCATTGATGGAACCTTTGGGTGTGCCATCTTCTGAATGCTTGGACAAATTTTCCACCCTGGCTTCTAGACGTGCAAAGCGTGTTTCGAATTGTTGTCGTTCTACCTCTCGGTTTTGTCGGTCCGCCATCAACATTTCTAAAATTCTCTCCATTGTGTCTGGGTTTTCGGGATTAGATCGAGTTGTCACCATTGTTGGAAGCAAAGCACCTGGACGGTGCTCTGATACCAATTGATAAGAGCAAAAAAAAATTGGAACAGAAATGAAAAGATGAATACTGAAATTTATGTAGATAATATTGGATTATTACAACACAGGTTTTCGAGAGCCTGTCTCTCCACAATTCAAATTCTTTCTAATTTTCTGAATGTCTTCCTAATTCTGTTTTGCTTCTATTTATACTACATTTACATCTGTTCCTAATTGGCACAATTAATTTGAAGGGTTATAATTGTTAGATTTGATGCTGTTTGGTTCCAAGGGTCGCATCCTTTCGGGTGGGTGTGTCTGTTCACCAAGGGTCACGCCCCCTGATTCGCATCTCCTGATCCTGCACTCCTTGGGAGTCGCTGCATGCGGGTGTAAAACTTGGTGATGGGTGGCCTAGGCTTATCACAGGCTACCTGCAAATGGTACTCCGATGTTAAGTCAACCACAATATAGGAGTAGTCGAAATAACAAGATCCTTATATTTTGGGCAACCCATGTATTATCGCCAACCCAAGGCCGATCTCCATTAGTACTTCTGCTATTAAACTGGCACTTTCCTAATTCAATTATAATAGTTTAGTGGTTAATACATCATGTTCCTTCTTCCAACATTAGTGTTCCGACGGGCAGAAAAACATACTCATGAATCAAACATGTCGTATAATCAAATATTTGTTCAATGGTGGAGGAGGCAGCATGATGTATTAATATCAAATTAATATCAAGTCTATTAAAATTGAATTTGGACTGTGTCTATTGAACAATTGAGTTTACTGATGAAAGGCAGCCCCGAATTGGAGCAGAGTTGTCCATGCGGAGAACCAAAACCCCGCCATTACCGGGCGCTTTGCAGCGCGTTATAGCGGATTATGGTGGAAAAACTCGCAATATCGGCTGGTATTTACCATTGTGGCGAGCTCAAAAACCGCCATGTATATCCGTCATAGTGCCGCAATTGCGGATATTTGACAACACTTAATTGGAGTGCCTTTTGCAAGGCCTCTCCTGTTGGAATGTAGGACCACCGTCAAGACACGTGAATCGTGATAACTCCCTGCGTTCTGCATGATAACTATTAAATTTTATGTAATAATAGCTCTGATAGTTTTAGGTCTAGAGCAAATGTATAATATGTATAAAGTGAGATCTGCGAATGGGTATTTTGTGGGGGGAATGCAATAAAGAAAAGTGTTATACATTCATACATACATATTGTATTGAAGGTTGAAATGGATATCTTTTTGATGTTTATGCTCCTATTCTCATCTTATCTATCAGGTTGCTGTCAAAAGGTTGAAAAGAAAATTTTGTTTTTGGGAAGAATACACAAATTTAAGAGAAGTCAAGGTATGCACTATAGTAGATTTTTTCTACTCAAGGTGATTTTCACACATTTTTGAATCTACAATAAAGATTTTAGACTTTATTTGCTTTGAGAGCTTTCTTTTTTTCCTTCCTTTTTCTATTTTCACTTTTAATTACAAAATTGTCACCTTACTTTTGCTTATGCATCTTGCTTTCACAGATTTGAATAGGAAACATTGACATCAATCAAAAAATTATATCCAAACCAAATTGACTCTTATTTGAATGTTGATTTGTCTCCACTGATGTGCGTTGCATTTCTTCTGCAGGCCCTCCGTAAAATGAATCACCCAAATATCATAAAGTTGAGAGAAGTTGTTAAAGAAAATAATGAACTCTTTTTAATTTTTGAATACATGGTAAATAAATATTTTATTCTTAATTTTTTTATTTATTCCTTCATTTAGTGTATATATAAGAGATGTAAAAAAATGTTAGTAAAAAAAATAAGATATCTAAAAATCACTTCACACGCTGAGATGAAACTTATATAGTGATCAAAATGAAGAGGGCTATATTATCTATTTATCATGTAAATGTTGAGGAAAAAATTGCTCAGAGAGGAGGAATTGTAATTAGGATGAAATGATATTATCCAAGAATTCTAGACAACAAAAATGGTTGAAGAACTATCTAAACGACCTACTGATATATAATGGTGTGCTTCCATTGACAAAAACCAATTTTAGAGCCTAGAAGAACAGGGACATGATAATATCCTTAAATCTTAGTTTGGCAGAAAATAACATATTGTTACACGGTTCTCTGTATTACATGCATGTTTACTGGAAATATTATTAACTCCTATGTATTTTATCCATAATCCTCCAATATTAATGCTGAAGGTTGGGTGTGATTGACTGTTGCTTTCTCAGCAAGTGCTTAACACACTGTTTCGTCTTTCAGGATTGTAATCTCTATCAATTAATAAAAGAGAAAGAAAAACCCTTTTCAGAGGAAGAGATACGATGTTTGATGAAGCAAGTGCTCCAAGGACTCAGTCACGTGCACAAAAAAGGATTCTTTCATCGGGATTTAAAACCTGGTAAGGCATATAACTTCATTTAGCTAATTTCTAATGGCACATTGTTTATGTTTCCGGTTCAATCTATCAAAAGAGTAAAAAAGATCATGTTCTGATAGGAAAGTTTGTTCTATTCAGAAAATCTGCTGGTGTCAAATGATGTTCTTAAAATTGCTGATTTTGGACTGGCTAGAGAAGTATCATCAATGCCTCCATATACTCAATATGTTTCCACACGGTGGTGAGTTATGTTCTCTCATGTCATCTTTATTAGTTTATCTTTTTCAAATTTGGATGCAACATTAGATATTTTATAGTCTGTGTGTGCGCACGCATGTTATTTTAAGATATTTCTTCATCACATCATCAACTTCATCACATTTTATATTTTTGGGAATTCAGGTACAGAGCTCCTGAAGTTTTGTTGCAGTCCACATGCTATACTCCTGCTGTTGGTAAGCATTATATATGTGTAAATTATAGATATGAGAAAGGCATATATTTCACTCGAAACAAAATAATGAGAAAAAAGTAAGTACCACGAATATAGTATCTCAGAATTTGGGTTGGGTCTAACTCATCCCTACAAAACTGGCTTGTAAGGTGAGAATTGCTCCCACTTATAAACACATTGTTCATGCCATATACTGTCCGATGTGGGACTCTTAACACAGTACGTGTACTCTGTGCGGGTACTTCACTATTTTATAAGTACCCTTGCTTCAAAGAGTAGAACCATCACTTTCTTTTGCTTTGAATTTACATTTTTTTTTTGGTACACTTTCTATATTGTCGAACTTGTTTGCCATTTATGCTGTCATTTTACGATGTTTTTTCTTCTTGTGGCGATGAATAACAAACACAACTTTTTTGTAGACATGTGGGCTATTGGTGCTATATTAGCTGAGCTTTTTACTCTGACCCCCATATTTCCCGGTGAAAGGTATTTAAGAGTCCCATGTTTTCTTTATGGTTGTAGGCTGTAGTGATGATGGCAAGACAAACTCATTTGCATTACCTACTTTTTTTTTTTTTTTTTGTACTTTTACACATTTAATAAACTATTAATAGCTAATTTAGTAATGGACAATATTGTTTTCAATAGCTAATTTACGTTCTCTTTGATTCAGGTTTTCATTATTCAATGTATGTATATACCGGACTATATACTGTCCAGAGACATTGGTTATTCAATGTATCTAAAAAAGCGAATCTTTTCTTATAAATAGTACCAGAGGGAGTAATGTACAATATTGTTTTCAATAGCTCATTTACTTTCTCTATGGTTCAGATTTTCAATAGCTAATTTAGTAATGGACAGTATTGTTTTTACGACTTCATTATATTTATATATCTCAAGGTATTATCAAATTCGTATAAAAATTGTATGTTCTATGGATTTTGTGGACTTCTTCAAAATAAATATCTATTTGGTTTTCAGGCATAGTATCTTGTAGATTCCTAAAAATGAACTATACTGGTTTTTTTAATCATATCTTATAAAACTACATTTGTCCAATGACAGTGAAATAGATCAACTGTACAAAATATACTGCATTCTTGGTATGCCAGATTCAACTTGTTTCACCATAGGTGCAAACAACTCTAGGCTATTGGACTTTGTAGGCCATGAAGTTGTAAGTGTTTATATAGCAGTAATATGGCCATGTAATATTGTTATCGTATTCATTTCATTAATGCATCCTGTATTTTTTATTGCCGCGATTGTTCTACAGGTTCCACCTATGAAGCTTTCTGATATCATTCCAAATGCTAGCATGGAAGCTATTGATTTGATCACAGTATGTTTTGGTCCGATAGCATCTGCCTGTCTTCATATCAAATACACAAATATTTACTGTTTTAATTTATGTTGAATAGTGATATTTTTTAGTATCTACTCCATTGTAAATTCTGCAGCAATTGTTATCGTGGGACCCATCTAGAAGACCAGATGCGGATCGGTCACTGCAACATCCTTTTTTCCATGTAACATTTTTTTTTTGAAGCCTGTTCTATTATACTTAAGGTCTACAATTCACTAACATATACTGAACAGGTGCATACAAGGGTTCCTTGTTCACTCGGTGATCCACTTGAGCTGAAGCTGAGTAACAAGAGTGAGTAAATTTCTTTTTCCGTTCCATGTCATATCCTAAATTTGAGCCTTTCAGTTTGTTAGATGACTACTATGTTAAAGGCAAATTGCACTGATAAGGTTTTCTTACTCCAATGCTTATTGCTTTCTTTTTGCACTGCTTTCAGGGGCAAAGCCAAACCTTGAGTTGAAATTGTATGATTTTGGCCCTGATCCCGATGATTGTTTTCTTGGCTTGACTTTGGCTGTAAAGCCCAGCGTTTCAAACTTAGGTATAATATCTTAACTATTTGTTTTACTATAGAAAATGTAATTAATGTGTTTGGCCCAAGTGACCGCTCTCTTGCACCCAATTTTAGTAGAATAGTATGGTTGGATTGTTGCTTGTTTGTAATATAATGGAAATAACAATTCTTTTGTTAAAACTTTCTTGTTTGCATAACAAATAAATTTGTATTTTAAAATTTAAGATTTATGGTGATTTCTTGATCACTTCCCGACTGTGCTATCTCGAAAGTTGGGTCCAAAAGTGCTATCTCGAAAGTTGGTTGAGGTGCCTCATTTGTATTGCCAATTGCACACAGATGGAAAGCCAAAGTTATATCCTACACTAGAAGTTGGCTACCATGTCGTTAACTGTGGTTAACCTGTCCATGACACCCTCTCTTTTTATGATATATATCTTTGTCATCTGGAATGATGTTGAAAACAGAACTACCTAGACTAATGATCTCATTCCCTTTGAAACTTGCAGTGGTATGTTATCAAAATAAAAAGTTAAGGCTTTCTTTCTTTTAGAAGATTGATTGAATTGGCTAGAGTCTAATGAATAAATAGTGGTCTTTGGGTTGAGTATTTATTTATTTAAATTTGTTATTTGAGGGTATACTAAATGGAGCGGTATTCTTGACTAGTTGACATACTAAAGAGCATGTCAGTTGTTATTGTTTGAATTGTGTTATTTCCCCCTTATTTCAAGGGAGTTGTTGAATTTGATTTTCTTAATACTCACACGGTGTCCTGGCTTCTACTGAAACCCTGCCACTGACCTGTATTTGTTTCAAGGTTACAATTTGTTGATAACGATTTTCATTTTCTTGTATCAAATCCTGGTTCTATTTTTTAAAAATGGCCATACTTCACAGTTCTTTGAGATATTTAAGCTTTTTCCAATATTAAATATTCTTCACCGAGTACACTTTGCAACCCCGACCCCACTTAATGGAAAGACTTGGTTGTTGTTGTTGTGGTTGTTGTAGTACATTTTGCAATCCTGACCGTTGTTCACATTATAAACTTTGTCTCACTTTCTCCTGCAGTTCATTCAATAGTAAACACTGCTGACCATTTGATCATTGTTATTTCCTGCAGATGTGGTTCAAAATGCATCGCGTGGGATGGGAGAGGTTGGTGTACAGTGCTTCATATTCAGCAGCATACCATATTCCATTTTTTTTTGTTTTGTTTAGAACTCCTATTGTTATTTCTGTTTACATCTCGTTTGACTTAATGCACTCTGAAAATGCAGAATATGCTATTTTGCTCGAATTTTAATGATCATCAAGATCAATCAGGTGATTCTTAGTTTCTTACCTTCTAATTAAGTTACCTATATTTGCAGAGAAGAATTAGCTTTCAATTTTTGATTTTTTTTATTAATCTTGATTTATTTTTCTGGAAATCTTCATTCTGTTTTCTAATAAATGAACTATGTTACTTAAAAAGAAAGTATTATCATACACACAGCGGAGAAATCCTTCTGTATACATAAAGGGTAAAACTATGTAGGAGTAGAACATTAAGATCTTACATGGAACAATTGACCCCTCTTGCCAGAAAATAGAGAAGAAAACAGTTGAACCCTATATTTGTTGAACGACTGTCACAAAGGTTTGCATAAATCAAATAGCCGAGAATCATAATGACACCAGGACAATGCTATATCTTAGATTTATTGTGATCTAATATGGTAAATGTTTGTTTGAAGATATATGGGAAAACTTATGTGCTGTGATGTCATCAGATACTGCGAAAATTTCTTTTGCCTAATGTAGAAGACACGCCAGTTAGTTTCTAAAACGCAGAAAACTACCTGTTTATTTTCTATTCCAATGTGCACATAGAGCTTCGTTTGAACACTGACAACAGCACTATTGTGCTTTAGGGAGCCAAAAGTCCAGTTTTTGACAGGGATAAGCAATTGGTTAGATCCTATTAAATGCTTAAGTCGCCCCTACAAAAGGAACAGTCATAATTTCTTGAATAGGTTTTTTGTGTGTAAATGACTTGCTTGCAATTGGTCATTTGTGTCAAGGGACAAAATGCTACTCCCTCGTCTCAAATCAGGCACCTTTTGAGTTTTGCGCACTTTCTAAGATAATGATTAATTATGTTGATCATGGTAGTCAATATCGCAATCCCAATTGCAGGATTGTACGGTTTTGCGATCTTGATGGGGTTTGACGATCCTGCGAAGGAAAAAACTAGGATTTGAGGGATAGCCGTGCAAACACGTTGGGGCGGTGGGATCGGGCGTTTCTTCCATTTCTGTTCATTTTCCTCAAAACTCTGGTTTCACGGGTCGGGTTTGCGACCCGGTTTCTTAGTAACAATGGAAAATACCCTTATTAGTTTAGTTAATGAAGTGGTTAATTTAGTTGAAGGACAATAAATTAGGGTATAGTAGTGGAGAAAATTAATAAATGCTACATTGATATTTTAATTCTAAAAGGGACAAATAATTTGCTACAAAGATATTGCAAAGGGGCACACTTCGTATGAGACTGAGGGAGTAACATTGTCGAACTACTCGCGGATTCCAACTAATAAGCTTGAATGTTATTTTTGGAATGAGATGTGACATTTTTTCATGGTTGTCAAGATCCAGATCTAGATCTTAAAATCTTAAGATTTTACGATCTCACTCACCCCCAACGATCCGGATCTTAAGTAGAATCGCGCGTTGTAGCCAAATTGTGGGAAAAAACCCCCGTAAAATCATTGATTTTGTGCAATCTTTGCCAGCTTCGACCATGATTGGTTGTTTTTTGACCACCACCATTAAAAGGTGAGAAGGATGACAAGATGCAGAGGCACACCAATTACGGTTCGGTGGGGATGAATTTGTGCCTTTTGAAATGAAGTATTAGACTTAAGGTTTAGAAAATAAACTTCTCACTTGTAGGGTTTGTTTTAACTACTTGACTTATGATAATCCTATTAATTGACCATATATGTCTAAACATTAACAAATGTTCAATAAGACCTCAATCATAAACGTTTAAAGAATATGAAAAAAAGTCATTTTCTCACGAATACACTTGTCTGCTTATATATATCATGTAAAAATACTTTAAATATCTACTATTATTTTTCATTTTAGTAGGATCTTATAATTTTTGTTGCGATCTTATGTTTTACGATCTTGTTACTCCCTCTCGATCTTATACAAATAATTGAGTAGGATCTTCCGATCTTAACTATGATTTTATATTTTACGATCTTGCTATTCTATCCTGATCTTAGGTAAGATCTCGATCTTGACAACCTTGATTTTTCTAGTTCTCTTTTGAAATTTTTCTGTTAACTTTCATTTTTTTTTTTACTTGATATGATACTAAATAGTCCTTTTGTTGTGTGATCTAGTTTTTTGGTCATTATTATCTCCTGATCAGAATGGAGTTCACAACTCAGCAGAGACTTCATTATCATTGTCATTTGGGTAAGTTCTTGCACAAACCCTGCATTTTATCATCATACATGCAGAGTATCTTGATGTCATTACAGTTTTAGACTTCATGTTTTTAATATTTTAATATTAGTGATATTTGAGGAATAAATATCTCAATGATATTGATCATAAGGTAAAGTAGAAGTATAACCAAGACTATGTTTTTGAGTTTTTAAATGATGAAAAATTAATTGTGATCTACTTTCATATCAGGAACTAAATGCTTCATGACTCTATAAAAATGTTACATGTTGAAATGAAATTCAACTCAGTACTGCCAGAGATATAAATCCATACGATGAATATGAAATACGAGCGATTCAGATAAAAAAATTAAAAATCATGATAAGTGATTTAGTGATTCTTAGTGCTTGTGATAAACATCTTGGAAACCACCAGAATGAGGCTCGGCCGCCTAGAAAACACTAATAGTTCAACAGTATTATTTTTTAATTAAGCAAAATGATGCCTTTTTATATAAGTTGATATGATAGGTGTACAAGTAGATCAGTGTTAACATGCATAATATAATATGAAGTGCTGCAATTATACTACTAGATTAATTAGATATTATATGCAGCAATGCATAATTTATCATTCCACTTCTTTTTCATTGGCTTGTCATCTTGACAGATCTGTTCAACACCAGCCAATGGGAGTTCCACAAACAGCGGGGTTTTCTTTTCAGCCTTTGCAGCCTAACATCTTAACTACACCATTTTTGACACCTTCTTCTCCGTTCCAGCGCCGCCGGCATTGCCTTTGAATCATTGTCTGAACTTTGTTCAATGCTGCAAGATCTTGAATCTTGATAATGCATCAAACAGTTTTTTTACCGAGGTTAATTGTTTGTACAGTGTTGTTTAGCATTAAAAATAGTTTCAAATTATCATGAAATATGTGTATAAAATGATTTGATCTCATTGGAGTTTGTAATATGAACAGCTACCCTTTTTTAGGGCGTCAAAATAATTCCAAAGGGAATGTAACCCTAAATATAAAGGTGCTACTTTCCCCTCCCTAGCCAACTGAAAGCTCTCTCTCTTTTTTTCTTTCTTTCTAAAGTGTATTTTGCGTTTTTTATGAATGGGTACATTATCCATTTGGAGGTGGGGCACTAGTCACTGTGGGTTAGGTTTTGCAAGGTCAAAGTATGATCTATAAAGCTTAGGTCTAATTAATAGTAGTTCGTCAAAGATTCTTTTTAAAAATTTGAGTCGGACTTTCATCTTAAAAGTCTAGTATGATTTATTTTAAGGAATTCCCTAACGTAAATGAAAAATTAAAACTACTTTTTAGATTTCACAAATACATTTTCAAACGGTTTCAAACACATTCCTCTCTGAATTAGATTTTAGATTCCACAAATGCATTTTCAAACGGACCCCCTTTCTGAATTAGATTCTAAGGCTATGTCGGGAAAATTTACAAAAATGCATCTGTGTAAATTATAGATATTCATCTTTAGACTGTTTTAATAAAAAATAAAAAACGTGTTTCCACTTCTCAAAATATTCTCTTAAAACAAAATTCTTAGAAGTTTCAAAATCTACTCAAGTTTTCAACTCTCTTCAGAACTTCTGCCATCAATATTCAATTGATCAAAAAGTTAACTTAACATCAAACTAAACTCACTTTAGGCAAGTTTTTGGTTTTTCTATTTTTTTAATAAATTTTTATGTACATTTGTAGAAATTGAACATTATCTTATGTAATAAATAATTTAGATATGTTATTTAAATGAAAAATGTGTTTGATAGGTAATTTAAATTATCAATTCTTATGTAAAAAATAGTTTATATATATTATTTAAATGAGAAACGTGTTTCATAAGTAGTTTAAATGACCAATACATTATTTTGGATGTTGTAATGGATTGTGTTTTGGACCGGGTCTGCCTTGGCCCAAAACACAAGTAAAGGTCCAGATCCAGGCAGTTCCTCGAGGCGTGCTCGGAATCACACCACCCCGAGCATACCCAGTCACAGACTACAGCGGTTATGCCCGCCGCTACCCGCAACGAGCAACGCCCCCGACCAAGGGCACTCCAACTCGAGTCTTGCTCGAACATCCTCCCCGTAGGGTAGACTCTGTCTCCTCCGAACACTAAGGGATCCTTAAAGCTCCGGAAAGACCGCATCTTCGTTCTTCCTCATTCTTCGTAGAGCACCATCCAAGAAGGGGACCACGTGCGGGTCCGCACTACACACATAGAGTCCGGCAGTCCCTTGGTTAGGCCAGTTCTGATCGATCCAATAAAGGGACCATGGCCCAGCGCTGGGGGCTATAAATACCCTCTACTTCAAGAGGGTCAGGTATTCATTCGTTACGCACCTACATACTTTTTTCCTGCCCATTTCGTCTCTCATTTTATCATCGGAGTGTCTTGCAGGTACCCCCATATCTCATTCAAATCCAGTTCGAGCCAACTGTGACGATCCAATTCTGATCCGGTAAGATCAGTGGTGTCGTCTGTGGGAATCAAAGCTTCCCCGTCTTACAAACCTTCAAAGACCAAAAGCTAAACCATATTCCACCGTCATGGTTGACCAGATCTAAGACAATCAGAACGCCCGTGTCGTTGAGGCCTGCAATAACCTCATCGATAACAACGTCGGCGTCATAGCGAATGTTACTGCTCCCGCTGGCAACATCCTCGGAATCTCCAACTACTGGGATGAAGCCACTGCTTCGTCTTCATCAGTCCCCCTTTGACTCCAAGAAGATAATCTGGTTCCCCCGAACCATCAAGCCGCTCAATTCCATGAAGTTCATGTCCCCGCCGGTGCAGACACCACGACCAGGGCACTGTTCGCGGCAATCAACCAAACCAACTACCTCATCTTTGCCCAAGGGGAAAGACTGAGAGCACTGGAGGAGGCCAGAAGGCCCCCGAGGAGACACAGGAGGCCTTAATCCCCACCTCCTCGAAGAACAGAGGAACATCTCCGATCTCCCCCGCGGAGACAAGACAAAGGCATCTCCCGAAGCCCGTCACCCCGACCACTAGGGAGGCGACCCGCCTTGAAGAGAGAGCCAATCATTGAAGCCGGAGGACGTGGCCACGCCCTTTCACGACAAGAACGAAGGTATCCCAGAGACGGGCACGGAGGGACGTGTCAACGAGCGCACCGCTCGAGGAACGCCCAACACGATCAGGGCTGTCGTGCCCGACAATACCTCAGGTCCCCGTCCCTCTCCCCAGAGCGAAGTGATGAGGACAACCCACGCGGTCCCCTATCACAAGCCATCATGGAGGCACCTATTCCCCCAGGCATGGAGAAGCCTCCTCATCTGAAAGAATATGATGGAGTCGTCGACCCGGTCGATCATATAGACGGGTTCGAAGCTATGCTGCACTACCATAACATTGTGGGACCCATCAAATTCCGGTTGTTCCCCACAACCCTCAGGAAAGCAGCAATGGATTGGTACAAGGGTCTTGCCCCGGGGTCAATCACCTCGTGGCGAAACTTGAAAAACCAATTCATAAGCTCGTTCACCGCGTCACAGCGACATCCAAAGACCGAAGCGGCGCTCGAGGCCATCATCCAGAGGCAGGATGAAACCTTGAGAGAATTCATCAACCGCTTCAATCGTGAAGCCATCCAGGTCCCCTGCGCGGACCACATGAAAAGTTACCTGCTGGAGAGGGGGCTCCTCCCCGGCACAGATTTCAGGAAAGCAGTGGACATCGAACCACCCCAAACGTTCGATGCTCTCCTCGAGAAGGCCAGAGCCTACATGGACTACGAGGAAAAGGAAGCGGCCAATAGAGCCCGTGACCCCAGGACTCGCGGATCCAGTAGTAACCTGCGCCAAGAACCCATTCCCCCTCGACAAACCGGGGAGAAAAGGAAAGACGACAAACCCTGGGACATCCGAGAACAGAGAGGACCCTCCGGGCATTTCACAGAATACACTCTGCTCATGGCTTCCCGCGAGCGCATCTTGGCGGAGTGTGCTAATACAGATTTCAAAGATGGCGGCGTCAAGCGCCCCTGACCAGCTCCTGCCAAGCCCGGGGTGGACAGGAGCAAATATTGTCAGTACCATATGAGCCATGGCCATCTGACTGAACACTGCATCCACCTCAAGGACGCCATTGAGACCCTCATAAAAGGGGGGAGACTCGCCCAGTACTGGCGAAACGACGCTCCTCGTTGCGACGCCCGTGAGACAAGAGAAGCAGAGGAGGATGCCCGACCATTTGATGAGTCGGTCCCCATCCAGACCGCCTTCTCCGTCACCAGACCCGAGGACTTTTACGTCCCCGAACACTTGCAAGAGCCGTTGTCAACGCACAACAGATGGGAGCACTTTCCCTCCGCCATGGTCATAAATAATGGAGGGTTCAACGACCTGGCCATAAATTCAGCCAAGAGGAAGCTGGATGAATTGGTCGACTCTGCACCTCCTCAGACGGTGACCTTTGAAAGGGTGAAGGGTAGATCGAAGCATATCACCTTTTACCTCGAAGAGTTCCTCGGAGGGGCCCCCAACGCGGTCATTCCTCTGCTAATAAGAGCGAGAATGGCTAACTTTGACGTACATCGCGTCCTCGTCGATGAAGGAAGTTCCATCGATGTAATGTACAGCCAACTATTTTGAACCCTGCAGCTCGACGACTCGCACCTCTCACCTTATGTGGGGTTAGACCTGCAGGGCTTTAACGGCTCGACTTCCAAACCTTGGGGATACATCGAGCTCATGGTTACCTTTGGCGAGGATACAACAACGAGGCAGGTCAAGGTGCGCTTCCTCGTCATCGACTGCCCGTCCCTCTACAACTGCATTCTGGGAAGGTCGACATTGGCAGAACTGACCGCGGTACCCTATACCATCCACTTGAAGATGAAGTTTTACACCAAGAGGGCACGGGTCGCCACCATCCAAGGGGACCTAGCAGCTTCCCGAAGATGTTTCAACACGACATCCAAGGGATGCGATACAGTCGACACCAGTACAAGGCCCGCCAAGAGAGCTGCAACGACACGACCAGAGCCTCGGGAGACATAGCTCGTTAAGTTAGAAGAGCAGAGAGCTCCCCCAAAGGTCGACTCGATAGCCCTGGACACCCGCTTCGACTAGGATGAGCCTCCCAGTGGCGAGCAAGTCCCCCTTCGACCAATTCTGGACGGGGACTTCGAACTCGTCCCTCTTAGCGAGTGTGATCGGTGGGAACGAGAACTGACTATTTTTTAATGCTGGTTCGTGTTTGCGTTTGTTTTTGCAAAGTGTCGCGGTAAGCAAGAGTCGCCACCGTCTTTTATTTTATCCAACAAGGGAAAGGACAAAAGCACAGAAAAAATTCCTTTTCGAGATGTTTCTCGGGTTCGGGAGGTAGATTATAGAAAGGGAAGGTGTTAGCACCCTTTCTATTCGTGGTTATCCACGGGCTCTTAGGTACTTGCTCACTGTGTTTTCAAAAGGTTTGCTTTTCTTTGTGATTGTGGGTTTTGAAAAAGTTTTATTTTTAAAGAAAGTGTAAGTGTGAAAAGTTTTCGTTTTTGTTTTAGAAGAGAGCAAGTACTTAAGAACCTCTACCTACTCAAAAAGGAATTTAATTGTGCAAATGTCTTTTAGACAGTTCTATCCCACTATTGAGAAGTAGGTAGCACCTTCGTTGGAGTTTTCGGGTCAATTCGATTTTAGGGACGTGTGGTCACTAAAGCAACGTTAGGACGCTTTAGTGGTAATCCTAATGTCTTAGATCATTTTTATCGAGGCGACCATTTCGAGGCAACCATTTCGAGGCAACTTATG